TAGACTTTCCAAGTGCTAATTCCTTACAAATGTCACTCTGCTTTACTCCACTTTTTATTTTGTTAATAATCTCGTACTTTTCATTTAGTGAAAAAGCTTCGCATTTTTGTTTTTCCATTCTAAAACGATTTACATACATAACGCGGCAAAAAACAACAAGTCACTGCCTGTCCAATAGCAACTCCGGACGCTATTGGCACTATTTTGACGCAAACGCCTGCGCAAATCAGTCTAAAAAATAAGTCCTGCAAAATTAAAGTACTGTTCTGTAGTATTTGTGCCCCGATACTGCACGTTTTATTTTCTACGTTAAACTGGCAGTTGACATTTCTGACGTCTGCTTGCAGATTATTTCATTATAAACTACCCAGTTTCACCCATTTCTAATTGACTACTTGTTTACATATGTAAACATTACGTTTAACTACGTATTAAATTATTGTATTACTTATACAATTGGTTCAAAATGCCTCATTTTTGCAGTGTCGTTTAATGCTTAATGCGTGCTGAACGAGATACGGTTCCTTTTTCCGATTTTAGCGAGACATAGAAGAGAGAGATGATTTGAATGCTTTCTCTAGTGAACGTCAAAATGCTTGTGTTAAGGCTTTAAAACGGGTGCCTCTACGTGAAACCTATATGAGAAATGATCGTATTTGCTTAGGACATTTCATAACTGGTAAGTATTTGTACAAAAAAGTGATTTTTGCTACTGTTTATGTTTGATTGAAGGAAAACCAGCTGCCTTGGGCGACAAAACTAATCCAGATGTGTTGCCCAACGAAAATTTAGGAAACATTTGTAGACTAACCAGGTCAATCTGCCTGCCTACTCCCTATTTAAAAGGTTTTTAAAAAGATCTAGAATGAAGCCAGAGGTTGGTTGTTATAACATTAAAAGACACAATGTTTTTAAGCTGCTGTTTTTAGGTCCGAGCTGAAGTTCTTTCTGCATGGTGCACAAGAATTTGATAGTGTTTCACAATTTATTGAAGAAATTTGAGCAAAGCAGATTTAGGGAAGCTGTTTTAGTGATTCAGTTCAAACTGATGTACCTAACTGAAGAATATTCAAGTCGTGTTTTTCAGAATTTAGATTTTTGCAATTCAATAATGTACACCTTGCAAGCAAAAGTTCAAGTGATGGATGTAAATGAGGATTGTTAAAAATAAATGCTTTATCCCTAACGTGTGTAACTGATATCTCTTGAACCGTGCCAGACTCAGCATACTTGTAAACTTGCAAATCTTTATAAGCCTTGAGCTGTAATCCAATGTAAAAACTACGGCTTTAAATGAAGTAATTCACCGAATACGTGGTGATGTTGGGAACTTATAAATATCAAGCCGTAATGACCAAGGGGAATCAAACAAGGGTCAAAAACTTCAGTTTGTTTATCGTATCTGTTCCTCCTATCTCCACTAAGCCTTGAATAGTATGCACTTCAAGACATAGTTATACTCATCGGACATTTGTTCTAAATAAAAATATTCTCTTTCCTCAGCTTAATAACCGCCCCTGTTTATAAATATAAGTATTATCAAAAATGTAATATTTAAGCTCTTTTTCACTTGCTCCGCTTACGACTGCGGCTTCTAGAATTTTCTTCATTATAACAGTTAAGCGTAAATGATCAACAGCAACCAAAATCCAATTGAAAAGGAAAAAAATACAAATACACCAACGTAAAATGATTAACGTTAAATGATAAAATAAGGAATAACATTAGTACTGCATGACAGTATTTAGCATGTCCAATAACTCTCTAATAAAGTATGTATTATCACAGTCTACTCATGGTCAACTCTCTATAGTGCAGTGGATATGACCATTTTATCAATTTTAGGTTTAGATTTGCAGTTTTAAAGTGCGGTTTAGGTTGGAATTGTGCAGATTGCCGGTAACACATACACACACATTTCATTACAAAGTAAGTCTTGTTTGATTGGAGTTTTTTCAGTGTGTACATACCTGCTTCCTCGCTTTCAATTCGTTATTATTTGCTATTAGTTCGGAATTATTAAACGACGATTGAAAAAGTGTAATCAGCCAAACCTTCATTCCATGCCGATTACATAAGTGTTAGTTACAAAGAATCCTTCAAGCATTTTCTGATCTCCAGAAAATGTTTTCCTACTGCCCTACATTATGGAGGTTGTATTTTAATGGTAATAACAAAAACACGTGTAGCACGCTTCGCTTGACACTTGTGACAGCCGAAATCCATGGCGGTTTCTCATGTTGTGACAGCCCGCCTAAATGATCAAAACAACGAAAGTTCCCATAAACTAATCGAATATTTAACTCGTACGTAAATGATTTGCACATAAGGAACCCCTAGCTTAAAGTTCGACACCCGGCAAAGGCACGTTCTGTGTAATAGCGTTGGTAATACTTACAATCTTGCATTAAACATGTTTAGTGTATTCTTCGATGCACAACAGCAATTTACGAAAGAACCGATTTTGCGGGTTTTAAAATGTAGTCAATTGCTTGAAGTTAAATGAGCCTGAGAAGACGTCTTGTGTTTTAAATGATTGGATTTATTCACCGCGTGGATCCTATTTTCTAGGCTCCCCGATTTTCTAGCAGAACGCTTAAGATAAATCGGGATTTCCGATAATAAAACACCGAATTTCCGTTAAACCGGAGAGCAAAACTATGGCAAATACAAATGCCGGAAGTGTGTACGACAATTCTTATAAAATTAACTTGTACTTCTTCAGAAATCTAAGATATTCACTTACCCGATTTTCACATGTGACGCTCCACACTGAACCACTAGAGAACATGATAGTACAACAGACTGTTACAACATGAACACAGACAGTAGATTGAGTAGCAGTAGATCTCTACGAGTACAGCCATATATAAAACCTCCTTGTCTTTGACCAGCGTTGCCAGGTCCGAAAATTGAATTTCGGAAGATAAGCTCGACACTTTTCGGTAGATATCGGAAAAAATCGGTAGGCCCATTTTTCTATCATTATTCAATTCATTATATAAAATCGCACGTTTTCCAAAACTTGAATTTTTATGAACTTACAGCAATACTACAATAAATATAAGAGGCAATAGGTATATTTATAATATTTCTTTAAACATTACAACACATTGTTAACGAAAATAAAATAAATCTAAACACCTTAACTTAAAAAGTGTCAGTGGCTCTTCTGATTACGGATTCTAAAATTGTTTTCTGAACATTAACACCTAAATAGATGCCAGAAACGGGTAAGATTAGAATTTTTAAAGTCAATGTAGGAAATTGGAACAGAAAGTAGGTAATTCCTTTTTAAAAAACAGTCCAATAGATTTCTCAGTATGTTTCTCATATGAAATGTGTTTTGAACTCATATGAACTTTTATTTGTTCCTTTTCGGTAGAAATCTGCATGGTATCGGTAGATCGGTAGAATCCTTGACGAATCGGTAGGTCTAATCGGTGGACCCGGCATCGCTGTCTTTGACAGATAGCTGCAGGGTGGCCAACTTCTCAAACGCGTATTACCGTACAAGCCATTTGAAAATACCGTATTTGACCGTTACCGTATTAGAGATTCATTCATGAGGCCACGGCCCAGTGACCAAAAAAAAATTCAATTCCGATTTATAAGGGCTTGGGACATGGCTAACGCGACCAAAAAAAAGGTGGTTTTCCATAGTGAGACAGTCTTCGCACTGGTAAAAAAACATGATCGCAAAATTTAGCAATTTTGGGATCATGTTTTTTACCAGTGCGAAGACTGTCTCACTATGGAAAACCACCTTTTTTTTTGGTCGCGTTAGCCATGTCCCAATCCCAAAATTGCTAAATTTTGCAGCAAATCACCGTATAGCAATGAGATAGAAAGAGACATACAACCGTCAGGACAGACGGTTGCCTACATTTTGATTTTGCCTCACTTTTCTCTTGCATAAGATCCGTTACAAGTACTTGTATACAGTTCATTGGTTAGGGACCTACGCTGTACAATTGGCCAAATTACCGTACATGTACGGTAATCACCGTACGGATGGCCACCCTGAACAGATGGTTCCTGACACAGAACACCTAAGGTTTCTGAATTGTACAGGTTACTAGGTACTCCTGAGCGTGGAGAAACGCGAGCGGATGGTGTGACGTCAGGTGTTTGCCGTCTTGTATGTTTTCAATATCAATTACATTGGATTACAACGTTACTACTTATTAAAATACGTTTATTTTTGGTACTTACATTTTACCATTTACAAATTCATTTATTCGCTTGTGTCTTATCTCGAGTGCATATCCTTAACAGAAACTTTTCTAACTGTGAGCGTGCGGTTAGATGGGAGAGCATGTAAATCGCAATGTATTCCTAAATACTTATTAAGCAATGAAATTATAAAGAAAACGCCAGCTGATTGCAAGCTTACCAGCCCTTTTAAAACATGAGAACAAACCCAAAACTACGAGCACGAAACTCTAGCAACTTCATCTGATTCAACGTTAAAAGCTTCAATAATTTAAACTGGCAAGCTTGTGACGTTTCGCGCGCGCTCTCCCAATCGAGAATAACTCCCCAGGGGCGTTTATTTTCATGCGTTTACGTAATGACAACCGGAGAACTTTTGCATTGCCGATTGCCTAAAATCGGTGAGAAGCAAATTCGATATTGACAAGCGATATTAATCTATTTCTGTATCACAAATTACCAAACTCTTGATTTCAGTCAGTTCTGTGTTTGCACCTGATAGTAAGATTATCACACATGTGAATTGTCACTCGCCTCGTCTAGACCAGGTGAATTTGCTCTCACCGA